GGGGGGGTTATTTTTGTTTTTACATATTAGGAAATATGTAAAACTATATTAGGGAATATGTCTTTTTCCTTAGACATGGGAAGCAGACCCTGAAACCTTTCTAATCCTTATTAAGGGAACTGGAGGAAAGGCTTTTTGTGCTGGTGGCGATATCAGAGGTAAGAATGTTGGCCACTTTAAAATCTGTTTGCGTGTTTTTCCCTACTGGTAGATAATTACTTCGTTATTTGTATTTTCTCTTCTAAATATGTGCTTCCATTAATTAAACTTGGTTAAATAATTACTGTTGGATAATAATGATTCCAATTCATGAATATTTGACATGAACTGTTTTACAGGTTTTTTAAAAATGATTTAATGTAATTTGATGTCTTTATTTAGCAGTTTGCTATATTATCTTGAAAGTTTGGTGTGTATGCAGAAATGAAAGCTAACTCGCATATAAGTAGCTGACTAAAGATTGAAAACAGGCCTGACTGAAGAAGGGAAAATGTTTGTGGCTTTTTACAGATGTGGAAGAAAAACCCAAGAACACAGCGCTTTACTTTTAGCTTGGTGTGCCCCCATGCTGAGTGCAGAATATGCCCAGAGAGGCCTTGCATTAGTTTGACCTGGCTTGCCCAACATCTGTATAGATCAGGCAGTTCAGTGGTGGTTTTTTTGGTGATTTTATCCAATAGCTGATTGAATCAGCTTTAGATAAAAGCACCAAAAAGCCCTGCTGAAGCACCCGATCTATACAGGCTCTGGGGAGTCAGGTCAAACTAATGTGCTCCCTCTTCTGGGAAAGCACTCGTTTTTGGTTTTTTGTGTTAGTTGTTTTTCACGTTTGTCAGTGCCCTGTAAGAGCTCATTGCCTCTGTTCTCTCATTTATTGCGTCTAACTTTGTGGACTCCTCCAGTACCATTTGAGTACTGTAATAGTGAGGGCAATGAGAGGGAAAAATTGACTTGCTTATGGATATGACTTATCATAAGGCGTGTAATCTTTTTATTTATTTATTTTTTTCATGGACATGACCACAGATATCCACATTTTTTGTGATCTCTGATCTGTTTCTAAACATAATAGCAAAGTCATGTAGCCTGTGAAGGAGCTAGATGATGTTAAAGGCAGCAACTTGTCTGCTTGGCCACACAGCATACCTCTAACACGTGCCCTGTGTTCTGCTCTCTCACTGGCTCCCCACTTACCATAATGAAAATCTTTAGCAGAAATGGTTTTAACTACTTAAGTTGTTCAATGACAGTTAGATTTCACTGTGTTGCTGGTACTGTCAGCCAGTAGGGGGAGACTTTTGAACACAGGAAACTTTTCCCCTGAGCTGGACAAAGACAAGGGAACTCACACAAGAAATACATGGAGATGGAGAGAGGGAGAATCTGTAGCATAATGATATTGTTCTTTTTCATATTTAAGTCAGTAAAATCAGTTTTTAAGTTTTACCAGTAATTGCCATGAGACTCGATTTCCTCTACTAGAGTGCAGCAGAAACTAGGCCACTTTCCTGTAGCATCAAAATCCATCTTGTAGAGTATATGCTGGCTTACTTACTATGAGTGTGTAGTATTGGAGGGCTGTTCTGCTAGACATTTGAATGCTTTTTTATCTTATTAGCTATCACAGATGCTGGAAAAGCTGGGGGTAGGCTGGCACAAGATTTCTTCAGAGAGGAATACATCCTGAACAATGCCATCGGTATGTGTGCTAGTAGATCATAAAGTATGAATCTGGCATATTTGTGGGTTATGATTTTTCACAATGGTTTCTTAAATATCTGGCTCTTAGCTCTTACTGCAGAGAACTTAAAAAAAAAAAAAAAAAAAAAAAAAAAAGGGGAGGGGAGGCAGAAAATAAAGAAGGAATCTAAACGTAATTCTTCTGGCCACATTCCAATTTTGGTAATTTTTGTAGTTTATCTTCCTGTTTTAAACTATTAACCAACTGCCTCATTTCATTCTGGGGTTATCTTTGACGTTTCAGTAGTACGTGAATTGAATCCTTAGTCTGCAGGTGACTTGTGCTAGATAAATGAGATTATGCAAATACTTCATTAAATATAACGAATGAAAGGAGAGCAAGAAAAGGTATAGCAGATAATGGTTACTGCTATACTTACCTTGTCCAACAGAAGAATGAGGGGGCTCCATTGAAATTAAAAAGCATATTTAAAATTATTTAAAGAAAATACCACTCAGTTGTTGTATAATCAGTCTGTGGACCCTGCTGCCCCAAATTGCTGTGGAAAATGCTGAGAAAACTAACAAAGTATTGGACCTGGCTATCAATAATAAACTAAATCATAGTAAACCTCACTCTTCAGAATGTCAGTAATAATTAACTGCTTGGGGTCCAGAATAAATTTCTCCCTGTGATGCCATATTGCGTGATAAAACATTAATTAGGTTTTATGTGTGCTTCTGAAGTATGTGAAAGCAACTGCTATTGGAACAATGATGAATATGCTAGATATTTTAGCTCTACAGCACAACAGGATTTTCCTTCTGTCTATCTGTAGTGTTCAGTGAAAATGCTTCTATTATCTTAAAAGAAGGATGATCTGGATATTGATCTGCTTCAGCAGAGGTTATAAATAAACCATTGCCAAAAGGGTGGTTGTTATTAAAATATGTATTTCTAAAAGTTTCTTTAAAAAAAAAAATCTATATTCAGTATCTTTAACATCTGCCTTGCCCCTTTATCACCCTGGGCTTTGAGAACAGATTAGCTTTAGTTCACACAAAATTGTTGAATGTTGTAATATTTATTACAGTGTTTATAAGGGTTTACAAAACTCCAACCCTTCCTTTTGCCTTTAAAGCGCATACACATGTTTCTATTGACTGTGACTCTTAAAGCATGTGGTTGTAGAATCTACAATTTTTTTTTTTTGGCTAAATCTAATCTGGTAGCATTCCTTTAAAACAAATCTTCAGTGAGTTGGTTTGTGTGTGTTTATATTTTCAAATTATTGGGTAGTGAAAACACTTCTTGTTACATGTATGTAACATTGTCAATGAGTGATACAGATTTACCAGTGATAGGAGAGATCACAAAAATCAGTTTTAAGGGCATGTGTCCTAATGTTTGAGTTTATTTAGCACAATGAGATTAAAAGTACAATTCCATTTCTTTTGTTATCTAAATGCTATTTCATATTAGTTGATGTGGAAGAGCATATTTTAACCACAGGGGTGCTTATGCATATGACACCATTAATGTACACATGACGAAAATGTCACTTTGTGTGGTGCCACACTGTACATGTTCAAGAGTTTGGGTGGGGGGGGTTAAATGACTTTGCATCATTGCAAATTACACTACATCTGGATGTAGTTTAGTTTGCAATGATGCGTTGCAGCTATCAGCTCTGCCCCTAGCTGTGGGAGAGGCAGGCAGACTGCAGAAAAAAAGGATAAGGCACCTGCTGAAGGCAGAAGTGGAGAGGGGGCTGATTCTTTTTTTTTTTTTCCCCTCCCTCCAGTGGAGCCTACCCATCTCTCCCACAGATGTGGGGGGGGGTGGAGGGTGAGCTGCTGTTGGGCTGAGCAGGCCCTTGGCTGTGGGGGGGCTCCAGTCCTTCCCTCTGTGGCGATGACACCCCCTTGGAACACCTGAGTGGGCTGCTTGCGGGCTGGCTGCTGTCCTAGCTCGTAGGCAGCACCTGGCCCATACTGACTCTTCCCCAACCTCAAGCTGGCTGTGGCAGCGCCTGGCCCACTGGCCGCCCATTTAGGCAGTCTTTGCGGGGTTGGTGGGTGTGCCACCTTGGAAGGAAGGGCTGAGGCCCCCTGCAGCTCAAGGGCTGCTCAGGCGGGCTCTAACCAACCTTGCTGTAATGTGACAGAAAAATTGAAACAGTGGGTTTGAATTAAAAACCCATTGTTTCCATTTAGGAGGCATACAGTACAACCTTGGGAATTAAGCCCCTGTCACGTGTACAAGTGCCTAGGGAGACCATTATAGTTCTTGTAACTTAAGTAAGACTTTAGAGTTTTAAACTGTAAACAAAAACATTAACTTCTTTAATGAAGGGTTGTTGTTTTTTTTTTCTTTGACACACCCTTAATGCTAGGAGTGCCTCTAGAAATTACTAGGGATTTACTGCTGCAAATCGGTACTGAACATTCTTCCTATGTTTAAAAAATAATGAAATAATTACTTAAAGTACCTGTATTTGTGGGTGGTAAGAACTAAATATTGATTTACAGAATGAAATAATTATATCACATTGTGTTCTAAATAACTAAGCTGTTGAAATTATAGCCAGGGAAGGAAAATATTTGTGATATTCTTATTTCATAAGTTTCTGGAATTTTCCTGCTTTTCCTACAAAATGTAGTAGTGCTTTTTCTACAAAAATGTAGTAGTATATTATATATATGTAACTATTACATTTTTAATAGGTACTTGTCAGAAACCATACGTGGCCCTTATTGATGGTATTACAATGGGAGGGGTAAGTAACATACCTTAGTTAACCTTGTTTTTCTTTAGTATAACGTAACAAAATTGTGAGTGAAGCAGAAGTGACAGCTTCATGGAGTTGGTCTTTAATGCAAGGCGGGCAAAATATGGCCCATGGGCTGGATCTGGTCTGCCAGACATTTTAATCCAGCCTGTGGTACTTACCTACTAATTGTACCCCACCCAGCCCTTTCGCCCATAGGGGTGGGAGAAAGGCGCTCACTATACATAGTCCCTGCCAACATACCCTATTGCACCTTGCTCCCATACTCGTGGGCGGAAGGCCCTGGCTCAGCCAGCATGCAGCTTCTGGGCGGGACTGCAGCTGCTGCAGCCGCTGATAGACCTGCTTGGCCTCCCCAGCATCCCGCTTGCTCTGGGCAGCAGATGGGGAAGGGGCGGAGGCAGTTGGGGAGCTGCAGCTGGGCAGGAGCGTGTGCCTGGGACTGGTGGTAGCGTGGAGCCTGTGCCTAGTGGTGGTGGCGGCACCATGGAGCTCAGGTGGGCAGGGCAGGGCAGGGTGTGAGGGTGGGTGGGGGGAGTGCATGGGGAACCCCCCCACTCCTCCATTATGTGCATCTCCCGTAGAAGGTGGCAGCAGCAGCAGCAGGCCGGGGCACTCATGCCTGGCACAGCTGCTGGTCTTGGTGGGGTGTGGTTACAGCCACCGCTGCACATGGAGGTAAGGAGTGCAGCCTGGCCGGGCCACCTCCATTGCAGGGGCTCCCCACCACACCCGTGCAACTCCCACACTTGTGCACCACTGAAGGGAAGCTCCACATGCTGAAGCTGGTTTCCTTTGCTGTTCCCTCCCACACAGGTCCTGGGATTCCACCAGAAGTGGAAGGGAGCCTCAGTCCCTGCTTCCCCATGGAGTCCTAGGATCTGCTTGGCAAGGAATGGTGAAGGCAGCCGGGTCTAGCAGGTGGAGCTTCACTCCGGTGGCCTGCAAGTGCAGGAGTTGCATATGTGCAGCAGGGAGCACTCGCAATAGAGGCAGCCCAGCCAGGCTGTACTCCTTGCCCCCATGTGCAGCAGTGGCCGGAGCCGTGCCACACCGGGCGCCAGTGCCTGTGCTGGGCATGACCTCCCCAAGCACCCCTGCTGCCTGCAAAAGATGCATGTCATGGGGAGGAGCATGGGGAGGTCCCCACATCCCTCCACTTTCTTTCATACCCCAAACGCCACACACTCGCACCCTGTCCCCACAGTCTCCCCATATACACCCACACACCCCTATTGGCCCCCCCCACACAGCCCCTCACAAACCCCATCATACACCCCCACACCCCACCACACACACACACACACACACACCATATATGTCCCACCAATATACAAGACTAAGGCTTTATTTTTGAGTTGTTATGCAGTCACATCTATATACAATATGCAAACAAATCATGACAAAATATTTTTTGTAATAAAATTAAAATGTGTTATAGCAGGTGTTTGACTTTTAGTGTATGATTTGTTTTTTTTTTCTGGTTCTAACATGGCAACCCCCCTCTCCCAAAGGAGTATTTCTGGGTTTGCGGGTGCGAGGGGAGAGACTTATGGTTGCAAAGGTCAGGGGTTAGGGCAGGATTTCCAGTCCCAAGATGGCAACAAGGGGATGGGGCTACCAATGCGGCCCTTCAAAGCTCACCACACCTTAAGTGGCCCTCTAGCTGAAATAATTGCCCACCCCTGCTTTAATGCATAACGCTACTTGCCATACATAACTTAAGTTTTTGGGACTTGGTCCATATTTAGACCTTGGTTGTGGTTTACTTGTTTTTTAAATGCCATTTGTTTCTTCAGTGTACCCCATTTATATACTAGAGAGGTGACACTTCTTGGACTATGTTACTTTGTTCATTTGAATTAAGAGAGAGAATTGCTTATGCATGCTGTGTAGGGTAAATAATTTGAAATGTATGCATGTGTTGTAGGAATTCAGTTCTTGATCTACTACATCTTGAACTTTTCTTTTTGAGATGCTGTTGATGATCTGCCAAATGAAATGCAATTATGCGCTGGAAGTTAATATGGTTAGGATTGGATCATGCATTTTCTGAGAATTAGATGTACATACTGCTAGTAAACTACCTGTTTGCATGGATTTGGCAAGGAATATACCCCAAACTCAGTAAACTGAACAGGCTATCGGTAAATATTTCATTATAAGCAATGAATGTTAAAAGAGGCTCTTTGAGGATGTATTTACTGTCATGTCTTAAAATATTCACCTTTGGTATGCCTAATGAGTGGTAGTCTGCCATGCGGAGCAAACTGCTGCTGCTAAAAATAACCTTGCTCTTTTCTCTGAGGACTGGGCACTAGCTTTCGGCAGACAGTGGAGCGTCACTTCCTTAATAAAGTGTTACCAGATTTGCCTATCACTTTGGGGTGTGCTCATTTATTAGGGACACGTTTCTAGGGTCTTTGTAATTTTATCAATGTGCTGCATGTGTACTTGTGTTTCTATACGGAGCTGTATATCTCCCTTCAGCAAGTCCTCACCCTCAATGGAGCTGCTTTGCAGGACTCGATTTCAATGGGGATGGGTTTCTCCAATCACCAAATCAGTGATACACACACAGATTAATGTGACACGCCTGACCTGACCGGGTTGATCAGCATGGACAGGCTGACACTCATATGCCAAGAATCAGTTCATCAGAGCAACAATAAACTGCAGTTAGACACAAGCACACAGGTAAACAGAATACTTCTGAATCCGGCTGGGTGTCCAGCTGACACCCTCATGGACTAGCATTCAGTTCCTTAGGGCATGTCTGAGCCAAACTAGGTCAATCAGCCTGTACAAGCTGATCTCCTTATGTGTTTCAAACTCAGCACGTCTCAATCTTTAGCCTCTTGATGAGCAGACACCACAGTATTTTTGGGCTTCACAGGGATCTTTAGCTTAGGTAAAAGAAGCGTTGCTGCAGAGCAAGTGGGGAAGGAGAAGCAGAGAAGGAAAAATATACCCAGTTGCTACCAGTTTGACTATAAAAGTTATTTATTGCTAAGTATATGAAATATATAATGGTACTAGTAGTAATAGACATGCAAAGGAAAAACAATCACAATTACAATACTACCTTGGTTTCACTAAGTATTTGGGGAAACAGCTCAAGCTTAACTAATACAGTTCAGAGTTCAGAAATCTATGCCTAGAGAGAGGAGAGAGAGAGAGTGAGATCTGGGATCTCACCAGTTGAAGGCACTCGGGTGCCAGTGCTGACAGGTAAAGTTCTTAGCACAATCCTTGAAGGGAAACTATCTGTTTCTTCCAACTTCTTGAGAACAACAGTGGATGGTGTCAGAGAGATTTCTCCTCTTGAAGCACACACTTTGCTGCCTTTTTTTTTTTTTTTTTTTTTTTTTTTTTTACAGATTTTTATACCCTCAGTTCAGCTTCTTCAAAGCATTCTTAATAGTGTAAATAATTGTCTTTTCTATTGACAAGGGGTTATCTGGTTTGGAATATCTCAAGAAACTGATTAATAACCAGGAAAAACATAAGGCTGAGGAGTAACCAGACACTTAGGAGCCAGCTTGAAATTCTTATGGATAGCAGATATACTGGATGGGATACCTCATTGTTTCTTCAGAAACAATAGATAGCTTGCAGTGCCAGGGTTTTGGATTTTTACCTGTTGTGAACAAGCCTCAGTTTAGCATGACTTTTCATAAACTTACTATAGTCTTTTAACAGACTTAATGGGATTGATTACTTGAAGTGTTCATACACTTTTGTGGGGAGGACTTCCACCAGTCATCCCGGGAAAAGTATGACAGCTTTTGTGGTCAGAGCTCCTACAGGCTGGACTCTGTGATGAACCCTTAACCACTGTTCAAATGTTGCCCATTGCCCATACCCCCTCTGACTCGGTCTCTTGCCTCAGCATTGCCTAGCCCGGTGACCGAGTTTTAGTCAATCAAGTTTAAATAGGCCTCTCATAGTGGGACCAGGGAATGTATGGCTCGAGATGCCTATTAAACTTCTGCTTAGTTCTGGTTAGATGAGGGGTGTGTGTGTGTGGGTGGCGGGGGGAAAGTCCTTTGTAAATCCAGATTAGAATTGGTCTGATAAATGCTGAGCTGGGTGTGTAAATGTGGGTTGATTAGCATTTGGAGCACAGATTCCCCATCATGCAGTGCTCCCCTGCTTCTCTGATCCCAGAATTCACTGCGGTCTTTGCTTCGGGCATTCTATTCTCCATCTTCCATGTAAATGAATTGTCATCTGGTTCCATCTTGCATGCAAATGAGACCTAGGGCAGTTGTTTCACTCTTGTCGCCCTTAATCTGGAGGGCTTTAGGTCTCCCACTGCATCTTCATTGTCTTTCGTAATCAGTTCTTGTTCAGGTTGGTGGGGGGAATCTTGGTGAGTCAGAAAGGCTGCGTCCTGTGCCAGGGTTCCCCAAGATCATGGAGCTGAGAGGTAACAAAAGCCTTAGAATTTTGGCACCAGGACCTATGAAGCAGTTAAGTATGTTTAATCTAAATTTATACATAATCTGCACAAAACTGTCATAGCTTTGGTCAGTTTTGGACTTCATTGGCTGGTTTTACGAGAGAGGAAAATTAGTATTTTCCTTAGTTGCAGAAGAAACAGTGATTGGGAAATCATTGAGACCAATTTGCTGAAACTAAAAAGAGCTATGACTAAGTCTTATTTGCATTTGTGGAAAATTTGAAGTTGTTCAGAACAGTCTGATTATTTTGATTCCTTTAATCACAAAATCTTGTCTGACACTGAGCATTTAATTTAGAAAATTAAAATACTAGAACATTTTTTAAGTAGTTCTGAAGTGGTAGATAGTATAGGAAAGTAGCAAGGTTTCCTAGGCTGCAGTTCATTTCCAAATGCTCACGACGGGGGAAAAAAACATAGTTGGTTTGGGTTGGCAGCTAGTTTCAGCTTCATCTTGTTTCTTAATCATATTGTATTTATATAAATAACAGGAACATTTTTAAATAAAAGTACTCTTATTTAA